GCTCTCTTAACTTATTATATCTACATTTAATTTTACCTAAAGTTTCAAATATACCCCTAATCTTTCAAATAACACTCGATAGTTTTATAATATGTTTTTTCATTTTTCAAAATTTCGTTTTTTCATTCAATGAAAAAGTTCATACTGAGATTCAACTAGTTTTTTCACTTGGATAGGTAAATTTTCTAATGATACTATTTCAACTATTCAAACGAATGATAAATGAGCTCGAAGTTGCACGGTTTAACTAGTACTTGTGATATGTATTCTTGTCTTCTTTGATATGTAATTTTAGTAGTGTTGTTTTGTGATTCAAAAATATTATGTTAAATTTGTTAATTTTGAAAGTATACTTTTGTTTTATGGAGTTGTGGAAGAATCTATGGCTTTGGCTTAAAAAAGCAAGAAAAGTTGGGCATCTTTGTTGTTATTTTCGTCTTTTACTTTTTCCCCCTTTGGCTATTTCTTATTTGCAACGTAGACGCTTTGCCCTCCTCAAGTTTCGTAAGTCTTCGTGTACACATGGCGTTACTGTAATGTCTTACCTGTGACTGTCCCGTTACTTTAGTATTGAGAGAGATTTTCTTTCCAAGTATTTTTTGACTATTGAGATTTGAGAGATAGATTTTGTGGGAAGTTGAGAACTATTATATCGGACAAAAGAAATAGCATTTGTTAAAATAAAATATTTATTAGTCGTGTGAAATTCTTTAGAACTATTGGATTTTTTTTATAAAAAAATCCAGTTGATAGTTAAGTTTTTGTTTATATAATTTTGGATCTATAATTTTGTGTGTGATAAGAGACAATACCGTATACTTTGTGAAAAACGGGTACTGGCGGGTAGCTAATCATCCGAATCTCCCTCTACCACCACGGACTTTGCTGGAACAAAGGAGAATAAATTTAAAAAAACAGTTTTGTAAGTTGGAGACACTATCCAAAATCTGTATGTTCTTGTGGAGGGTGATCTCTGGAGCCATTGCAATTGCTGACCGTCTTCAAAGCCGTGGATTACAAGTCAATCAAGCTTGCAAGATTTACAATGTATCTTCGGAAACGATATGTCATGTGCTTTTCTGTTGTCCCATGGCAAAATTGATTTGGGACGTGGCGCAGATCCTAGAACCGGATAATGGCTTTAGCGATTCACTTGAAGAGAACATGGAATATGTTCTGGACCTGATGGACCAACAGAACCTAAAT